GGCGCTGCGGCTGCGTTGCGTCTGCGTTGCCGGTAGGCTCCAGAGTGAGCGCCATGCCAGCCGTGCAGCTGCCCGGGGGAACGGGGCGATGGTCAGTAGGCTCCAGAGTGAACTATGCCAGCCCCGCTAGCTTGTGCGGTTGCTAGTAGGTTTGAGCGTATGCCATGCTGCTCGCACGAGCTCATGCAGTTGTCAGCAGGTTCCAGCGTGAACGCTGCACCGTTCGTGCCGGCCCGTGTGGTTGTCTCTAGGTTCCAGAGTGAGTGTTGCCACTTGTTGTGCCCACCTGCCTAGTTGTTGGTAGGTTCCATGTGAGTTGTGCCGGCTCCTGTGGTTGTCAGTGGGCTCCAGAGTGAAGGCCATGCTAGTCACGCCAGTGGTGGGCCCGCTCTTAACTCCACTTGACAGAGGAGTGCACCAGGCTGCGGGTCCCTGTGCCCATGGGCTGGACTCAGGTTTTGAAAAGTGGGGTATGGAGGATGAGGTGCCATCACGTGCAACACAACACTGGTTTTTCTCCAGTTACAAAGACACTAGAAGCTTTACTAATCTGCCAGGGCTGAGGGCTGCCTTGCTCAGTTTGAGATTGTTTTAAACTCATTCCAGTGATGTTAGATTAAAGCAAAAACAGTCTGCCGGGCTGTGAAATTGGAGCTTGGTGACCCAGAGCAGCAGACAAGCAGCAGAATTACAGAACAAAGGCTCGCTGGGTGGGTGGACTTGTCAGTAGGTTCCAGCGTGAATGGCGCAATTAATCATGCTGGCTCATGCAGTTGTCCCTAGGTATTCAGACCATTAAAAAGAACAGGGTCATTAAGGCCTGTGGAATGGACAGTTTAGAAAGGATGACGTAGATAAGCATCCACAAAGTCAAGTGGCTCCCTCAGCACTGCCTGACTACAAATGCTGCTGCCACTGCCAGGCAATTGGTTTTTAACTTCAGGTGGAGCAGGCATCAAAGCGGGGTATGAGTACAGCATTCCCCCCACCTCCAATCTGACCCATCCCTGTGCAACGGTTAAAGGTGAGAGGCACATTTTTAAGAGACCAAGAGGTAGATTCCAAGTGCAGAAGATGGCATCCCCCAAGGAAAACCGTAACCCCTCAGGTGCTGTCAGCCAGACCAGTGCAATCCCTTCCAATCCCTTTCTGACACTTGTGCCAAGAATTGAAAAGAATGTAAAAGATTCAACTAACAAGTAAGAAAATAATCTGTCAGGAGCTTAGGAAAGGAAAATGTGTCACTGAGACAATGCAGGCAAAGGGTCATGGAAGAAAAAACACAGCCAAGGTCAGATGTTTCAGCACCATCTCAGAGTCTGGGTGGAAGGTCTTTCTGTAGCCTTGCATGCCAACAAAAATATTTTTGTCAGACTACCTCTGCCTTCCAGGGGTGGAGCAGGGAGGAGATAGTGGTGTCTAAGATTAGCTGTGCGGGGGAGTTAGGAAAAGGCATTCATTTGAGTTAATTTTGCCTTTAAAGTTGATCCTGAAGGGAACTTCTTCTGGGAGTGCTCTCCCAAAGGAAAGGTTTATGAGCAGCTCTAAAAGAAAAGCATTATATCTTTTTTTTCAGTAGCTTGCTCACCTATCCCTTTCTCCTGGAGGAGTCAAGCCCCTGTGTTTAATTGAGTCCCTTAACTTATTCTTGAGCTAAGTAGAAGCATCTGACAAGGAAACCATCCCTGTTCAGTTTCCATTAACCTCTTTCTCATTTTCACAGCTCTGAAAAGGCTGAGAGAATCCGCCAATGTTAATGACCTAGACACAGGTGAGACTTCACCAGGTGGGCTTATTTCCAAACTTTGCTCTGGAAGGGCAGGTTTGGATTGGGCATCTTCATGAAAAAGAGTAGGAAATAGGGTTTGGACATAGCGGGACTGGTCTGGAGCGATGTCTGCCTTTGCTATGTCACAGTTGTAAAACCAGTGTTCCATACTGATATCCCTGTGTGTTGAATCTTGCAGTGTTCTGTGCCTCCTCACACCAGTGAAATGATTGATAACAACTTGATTACCCCTTGAGGTTCTACCATTAGCATGTATGAGACAGCTGGTTGTAGAGAGGAACAAGGGGAACCCCTTTCCTCATCTCTTTCC